AGCTCAACAAAATGGGTTAGTGACAGATTGACACAAACGTAATGTTGCTTATTAGGCGTCTTTAGTCGCCGTGGTTTCTTAGTACATCGTTTCTCCTTTGCGAACTTTCAGTTGATTAGGTATTACAACACATGATTTGCGCAGTGTAAAAACAGCCGACCATAAGGTAAAAAGTCATCTCCAAAGCAAACCGTCTCAGTTGAGGAACACTAAGTAGGCTGACTAATGGAGCGAAGCGAACAGACTCAGCAAAACAATGCGACAAATTTATTAAATACAATTTGTATAACAAACCGGCGAAATAAACGCTGTTTCTTCTTGGTATATTTAATGGCGACTTTTCAATGCATCATGTTTTATATGCTCGTATTGATTAGGCGATAAAGCCTCTGATTTTTCTTTGTGTTATTATATGACATTCACAGTAATTAACCACTACACCATGAAGGCGTATGAGGAATGGAGTATAGCTCCACGTGTTCTTAACCTCATTATTGGATGAAGTGGTCAGCTTGACGCCTCCAAGGAAAGAACCTCCGGTATCCATTTTCGACAGACGCCTGGGTGAGTTCCAGAGCCGGACTGAACGCTGTAGAGAAATTCCCTGCCTATACCGTGAATCGAACCCCGATTCCTCGGTCGTAGGCCATCGTTGTTCCGACTTAGCTATTACTGCTCCCACGATGCTGCAGCTATATTATATTGTGACGTACAGACTCGTTGCTAGGCAAAGACCTCGAAACAAACGAGACAAAAGCCGTTGATATGCAACGGCGTGGTAAACACGCCTCTAAAATAGTTACTGTTGGAAACGGTGTTTTATATTGGGTCCGTGCAAAGGAGTTATAAGGAAGACAACTAGGGTGACCCAGTCAGTCTTCAGCCAGCGGATAGGGAGTGAGGTTAGTGGGCCGCAAGGTTGTGAGCATTAAGCCCTTGTTACAAGTCTGTGACCAGGTGTCACTTAGCTGAAAGTTGAGTTCTGCAAGGGAGGCTGAGAAGCGATGGCGCTATATTCAGTTTTGGAGTGTTAACCAGCGGTGAACGGAGTGACCACAGAAGCTGAAGAATCTCCATTAAGATTCGTTACCAGGAAACGACCAGTGAAAGCAGACAGAATACTTAGCGTGTGGTGATTAGCGACAGCGTTGATAGTGCTTTCAGTCCCGAGTGGTGTGTATAAGTGTTCAATAAATCCAACAACCAATCCATAGCCCGGCTATAGCCGCACCTCTAAATCGTTAGAGTCGAGTAGGGAAGTGAACGATGGAATGGAAAAGGTCTGGAAGGAAGCGATAATGGTCTAATCGAGGTAATATCCCGGAAATTTCATGAAAGGACTGAGAAAAACAATGAAACCCCTTATCCAGGGTAAGTGGTGTCCCAGCCGAGATTCGATCGGTAACCTTCCGAATAAATTTAGTGCGTTACTACGGCACTAATTGGGCATTCGAGAATGAAAAGAAACATAAAAATATACTGTGTGGGCAGAACGTTAATGAGATGGTAATTTGGTGGGCAGCGATTGTTACAGGGGTTAACGACGCTGCTACGGTTACGTTCAGTAAGATTGAAACCTGAACATCAACGGTGATCTGATATGTTGAATTACTTATACTTATTTATGATTATCAAGATATTTTGCCTGTAAGAGAGAAAGGTACTTACCGAGAATTATATACATGAATCAGCTCTCNGCTACGGTTACGTTCAGTAAGATTGAAACCTGAACATCAACGGTGAGCTGATATGTTGGATTACTTACACATATTTATGATTATCAAGATATTTTGCCTGTAAGAGAGAAAGGTTTAAGTGTGTACTTACCGAGAATTATATACATGAATCAGCTCTGACTTCTCGTGCCAGTCAAAACAGCTCCGTCAATGAGTCACTTCCCAAACTCAGGTGGCTCCAACTTGCTTTATCGGCAGTGCTTCTGCTGTCGGGTTGACCTCAAGACCAGGAAGTTTACTTTACTGAGTCGAGTTTCATTACAACCATAGATCTGCGTCCACGTAACACTACGCAAAACCAGGAAACGACTGCTTCACCCAGAGTACGGAATCTTGCCTATCATCTTCAAATACTTGCAAGTGTAGAATGTAAAACTACCCACGTACACAAGAACATATCACGAAATTGTATAAGCTGCTCCAATGAATCAGCTTGATGCTGCGGCCTCCTTATCCAAGAGAATACGGTTCCCTACATGCATCAGATGCGGAAAATTGTAACGAGAGTCGAGGTCCATTTTTTGAAAATTTTCTTTTCGTGGATATTGTTAGTATGCTGTTAGTATCTAGCCTACAAAGCGTCAAATGGTAAGATGGCAAAATGAATTGCCCATTTGCTTGGTGAGACTTCGGAAGGGGGTGATTCTGTAAAGGCAACTGATATGGCCATCTAGTTGACTGGACCAACCGGTTCATCATTTCTGAAAACGTCTAACCTAACATGAAAATTACCGTCTTGCGGGATGTGACGCCGTTAAAATTTGTACATCGGTTCCTCCTACTATATATAGTATCATAACTCAGAAGACGTTTTTCATAGTCACTGCCATGAGCACTCACAAATCTCAGAACTGAACACTAGTTTAAAACTTTCGCAATGTGACA